GACACAGGACAGGTGAGGACAAGCTGAATGGACTTAAAGACACAGGACAGGTGAGGACGGGTTCAGAGAGGAAGTGAGCCTGTGGACCACAACTGTCCCAACACAGAGTCACTGCAACACTCAGGTAAAAACACTTGATGTGATCGTAGACTGTACAGAAAGGGGATGAGTCACACAGGTGAGAAGTCATGGTGGGGAAAGTTTCACACTTCCTGTTTCTTGAAGGATCACGTGATGAGTCACACAGGTGAGAAGCCGTGCAACACACATTCATCCAGAAAGTCCCGGTGACCGACCTGGATGAGAGCAGGTCTGACCTGTGGGATAACTGACTGTTAGATACACAAAGGTTTTCCTGGAGTGTTCCTTTGCATCGGAGGTGTTCAGGGTTAGGGTTAACGGAGGTGAAGTGGGTTCAGAAACAGGTCACATCCCTTCTGCTGTTTCCTTCCTGCTGCTGCAGAAACCAAAACTACTCCCAGAGGAGCTTCCATCTGAGAGGAGGAGCCATGCCCCGGATCATCCTCGTCAACTCTCTGCTGCTGCAGGACAAACAACGGAGACACAAGAGGGTTATGAAGGACCAGCGCCCCCTGCTGGTGAGGCTGCTGCTGTTTAGTGTGTGTAGCTTTGTTGGGTGTGCAACAGGGATCGGTTGAAGGCCCTCTTCTGTTCACACGGTGATATCTGATCAGATGAGGCTGTTTTGTGTCGGACTCTGTTTCATTGTGTGAACAGTTTTTTGATGGAGAGGGAGCTGAGTTTTCTCTGAGAAGAAATGTTGAAAACTCAGGTCGTTCATTTCTCCATCCAACGTCTGTCATAGCGTCTGCAAATAACTGGGAGAAGATTATTCTATCTGTTCTTTTTGTTTCTGTCCATCAGCTTTCAGGCAACAGAACCTAGAGGATCATGGGAAACTGAAGACAAACAAACTCATGAGATGTTTTGCAGAAGAGGACTGTGTTTGTCTCCTGAGCAGTGACGGCTGTGTGTCCGAGTTTAACGGAGACGGAATCAGACGGCTGTGACGTCAGTGCTCAGAGCTGCTGGTGAGTTTCTTTTCAACTCTAAAAACAGACGCTTGTGTTTTCAATAAACTGCCAAAGAGTAGAAACTGGATGATGAGTAAAAACTGACAGAAAAATATCATCATTAATGTTCAGTTTGTAGCTATGATTGTTATTAGAGCTCTACCAGTCAAACAGTGAGAAAAACAAGAAGACAAATGTGGACAGATATAAGATGATGCAGACGGAGGATTAGAAGACAGATGACGGGAGTTAGACAAAGATAAAATACAAAATAATAATCCTGCTTTCTTTCGTCAGTATTTGTCACAGTGTGTGTTAGAGTGTGAACAGTCAGGGGACAGGAAAACTTTATTTCAGCCGTGGGAACAAAGTGACGGTTGAAACTGGTAAGAGATTAAGTTTTCACACCTTCATGTGGATAAAGCTTCTTTATCTGTGTTTTTAAATGAGACTTTCTTCTGTTTTTATAGTTTCACTGAGTCTGGACTCACTGCACACTGTTCAGTAGATACTGTCTATGACAAATGCAAGATTAAGACGAATTGAACAGTTAAACATGTACAAATGTGATTATAGTTTTATTTTGTACATTTTCACAAAAATACAAATTCACAGGAGATAGAAAGGACAAAGTTTGTAGGACCATCACTTCCACAGACACCAAGAGAAACGTACTGCAGCATTTAACGAATGAAAACATTTAAATATTTATATATATGAACTTGATATTCTGAGGTTTGTGTTGGTGAAAGTTTGTGTGAGGTTAGTGTGTTGGTTTGTGTACGGGTGTGAGGTTTGTGTGTTGGTGAAAGTTTGTGTGAGGTTTGTGTGTTGGTG